CTCCAAGGCTTTGAGTGGCCCCTGACGGCAGGGAGGGGATGTCCTGACACCCGTTACTGGTCTCGGGAGCTGCCCCTGAGCCAGGGACCCCCCAACAGCCCCGGGGACGCCCTGACAGCCCGAGCCGGGCGGGAGGAAGCGCCTCCCCCCGCCGGGCCGGGCTCTCAAAGCCGTATTTGCCCGTTCCCCCCGCCGCCCCCCGCCCCCGGTGTGTCCCCCCGCTCACTGTTGTCGAGGGTGATGAGGAAGATGCGCTGGATCATGTGGTTGGTGTTGAGGCGCTGGCAGAGCTCCCGCTGGGAGCGGAAGGCGCGGCTGATCTCCGCCGCCGAGTACTCGCTCTCCTCCAGGCTCTCCGACACGCTGTTGTCCGAGTCATCCTGCCCCACCGACGGCTCCTCGACTGCGGCGGCCACGGGAGTTCAGCATCGGAGCCGCGGGGAGGAGGGGGGGGGGTGTGTGGGGGGGAAGGCCCCGGCGGCGCCGTTACCTGCGGGCGGCCGGCGGCGGAGCTGCTGCCCGGCGGCGAAGTGCTTGGCGTCGGCGAGGGAGCCGAAGAGCGCGGCGAAGGGGTTGCCGGAGATGCTGTTGTTGTTCTCCTGGTCGGTCATGGCCCTCAGCACCACGCCATGGGCTGTGGAGGGGGCTCCGGGACCGGCCCCGCCGCGCGCCTCCGCCCGCCGCCCCGCGGCGCCACCGGAACTGCGTCACCGGAATCGCGTCACCGCCGTGCGCCGGAACCGCCGCTCTTCAGCGCGGGGACACGGAGGGGGGGTGGCACCGGGAACCCGGCACCGGGACCGCAGCGCTCCCGGGGGTGTCCCGGCCAGCACCGGGAGTGGGAGGAGCGTGCATGAATATTAATGACATGCAAATGAGTTCATTAATATGTAAATATCCAATTTGTATGTTAATTTATGATCAATATGCAAATATTTTCATAGCTCATTTGCATTCCCGAACACCTGTTTGCAATTGCGTGATGGCACTAAAAACGCGGTTTGTTTTTTTTTGGTTTTTTTTTTTTTTGTTTTTTTTTTTTTTTTTATACCTTTGTGTAAAACTGATCTTGAGGCAAAAGCAGATTTCATTATGTACCTATTGTGACCAATGTTACAACATTCGGTGTCTGGAAAATCATAGAATTGAAGAATCACTGAGGTTGGAAATGGCCCTTGGGATTCTGGTGTCCAACCATCGGCCCCACTCTGCAGAGTTCTCCCTCACCCCACACCCCCAACCCCACATCTAAATGACTCAGACATACTCAGGGATTCAAGCCCCTCCCTCGGCAGCCTGGTCCAGTCTCTGACCACTCTGTGAAGAATTGTTCCCTAATGTCCAGTCTAACCCTACCCTGTTGGAGCTTGAAGCTATTCCCTCTCATTCTATCACTAATTACCTGGGAGAAGAGACCAGCACCGACCACTCTACAATGTCCCCTCAAATAATTGTAGCGAGTGATGAGGTCTCCCCTCAGCCTCCTCTTCCTCAAACTAAACAGTCACAGCTCTTTCAATCGCTCTTCGTTAGATTTATTCTCCAGGTCCTTCCCCAGCTTCGTTGCCCTCCTCTGCACCCACTCCAGCACCTCCAGATCTCTCTTGTATTGAGGTGCCCAAAACTGGACACAACACTCCAGGAGTGACCTCCCCAGTGCTGAGTACAGGGGGACAGTCACCTCCCTACTTCTGCTGGTCACACTATTTCTAATCCAAGCCAGGATGCCATTGGCTTTCTTGGTCCCCTGGGCACACAGCCGGCTCATGTTCAGCCGCTTGTCACCGAGAACCCCCAGGTCCCTTTCCACCAGGCAGCTTCAGCCACACTCCCCCGAGCCTGTAGCACTACATGGAGTTGGTGTGGCTCAAAGGCAGGACCTGGCACTTGGCCTTGTTGAAGTGTTGTCGATACACCAGAAGGACAGGATGTCATCCAAAATGACCTGGACAGGCTGGAGAGGTGGGCCCAGGTGAACCTCATGAGGTTCAACAAGAGCAAATGCAAGGTTCTGCACCTGGGCCGGAACAATCCTCGCCACCAATACAAACTAGGGGGTGAGGTATTGGAAAGCAGCCCTGAGGAAAGGGACTTGGGGGTGCTGGTGGAGGAGAAGCTGGACATGAGCAGGCAGTGTGCAGCTGCAGCCCAGAAGGCCAATCGCATCCTGGGCTGCATCAAAAG